GGCTCGGAAGACCAAAGCTTCTCAGCATGGGAGAGATTACAAGAAGCACAAGAAAGGTGGTGGGCTGAAAGACCGTGGCACTTTCATCCCATGTACATCAACGATAGCGATGATGTCCCTGGGAACTTTCCACAAGCACTTTATCTCAACGATGCGGTTGTCACGGGGGTGCTTCATTATTTATTGATACAGGTTCTACTTGCAGCTCATAACCCTCGGACACCGAAACTGGGCCCCGGACAAGCTAAAGCAGCTAAGACGATAAATGAAGAGATAAGGAAAACTGTCAAGATGGTTTGTGGAGTAGCTGAGGTAAACTGCCTCCTTTTGAGAGAAAGACATATGCTGACGTCCATCAAGTCAAACCAAAGAAATCCAACAGGATATGCGTACGACTCCCGGACCCCGATTCGATCTTTTGCTAACAGTTTCTAGATATGCTTGTCTAGCCATCACTATGGCTGGTGACAGATTTAACAATATGTGGGAACAGGAAGCACTATACAATGTCCTGCAAAAAGCAGATGTTCAATTTGGTTGGCCGAATCGATCAGTGTAAGAGTACCACAAGATTCAGAAAAGGACCCTTCTAACGCGCAGTGCAGACAAGAATATCTTAAGGAGGCTTGGGGTTGGACCGAATCACCTGTCAACGTGATCTCAGGAATGCCTATCGCAGGAATGCTGAATAGCAATTTGCAATTAGTATAACGAGCGAGTAACTATGATTGAATGAATTAAAATCTGTTCTTCTATGCTAAAACAACTTTAACTTTAAATCTATGATAATATTGTTTAGAAGGGAATCTTAACACCAGAAGATCGGAGCTTTTGGAAAACACCCTCAGGGTCGTACTTCTTGCTAGCAGCACGAAGCTTAGCAAGAGCCTCGTCACCGACAGTGGCCAAAGGATCTTGGCTAAGATGAGCGTAGTTGATGAACTTCCATTCCCAGAAAGCATCCATCTCCTTAGCCTTGGCCTCGATATCAGTCATGTAAGCCTGTAGCAAAGGCATGGCGTCCTTCTCGGCCTGCTCGCCCTTAGCAGCCCAGGTAATGAGGAACATGATTCCATCACCTTCCTTTGTGTAGTGATCAAGTCCCATGACATTACCGCCATTGGCAACACCCTTGTCGGCGATGGACTTGGTGATAGGCTGGAACATGCAGAGAGTGTTGAGCTCGGACGTCTCACTAGGCATAAGAGCCTCGAGATCCTGGTTGAGCTTGTCGTACTTTTCGACGACGTAAAGAAGAAGCTCAGCGTTGGGCTTGAAAGAGCTAGTGAACCAGATATTTCTAAAGTGAGGAGGTTGACCAGATCCAAGCTCCTTGGTAACAACGCTCAGCTTCTCAGAAACAGTGGTATCAGCCTGGATATCGGGGACAGCGTAGTAAGCATCGAAGGCAGGGGGCTTGACCTCGCCCTTTGTGTTCTCGATAGCAGCGTTGAGGATGGTGCCGCCAGCAATGGCAGGGAGGTAGGCCCAGTAGACGATGCTGCTTGAGTTCTCGTCCTTGGGAACGTTGGCAGTGAAGTCGATGAGGGCGTCGATCACGGCTGGGCCTGACTCGGGCTTGTAGAGAAGGTTTCCTCCCCAGACGACAGCCTTTGAGCGATCGACGAATTCGATGGGGTACATATCGATACGGGTGATGAGGCCAAAGTTACCGGAGCCACCTTTCATGGCCTATGAGAAGTCAGTTCGTTACATAAGAGATAGTGAGAGAATATAACTTACCTGCCAGAGATCGGCATTCTCGTTGGCGTTGGCTTCGACGATTTCGCCGTTAGCCAGGACTACCTGCCAGCCAGCTACTGTATCACAAGCCATTCCCTATAGTGGGTGAGTTTATGTAAAGAGTCAGAGAGGTGGTTTACTTACATGAGATGCAGAGTAGAAGGAGTTTCCTCCGCCAGTGACGAAACCACCAACACCAACTGTTCCCGCACGGCCACTTTTACATGTCAGTTGTGAAGCTTCACAGTACATGAGAGTTACTTACCCAGCGACAGCAAGACCATATGGAATAAGAGTATCATATACATCTTGCCAGTGACCACCAGGTCCTACTGAGACAATGTTCTTCTCTTCATCGTATGTTGTGCCGTTGATGTAACCAAAGTCGATGGTGATACCCTCATTAACCGAGTTGGACAGCGCAAAGTTACCATGACCACCACCTCGAATACCAAACTTGCATTGGTTCTCGGTGATAACCTTCATAATCTTGGAAACATCCTTGGCATCTGAAGGTAGAACCATACAGTCTGGTTCCAGAGCGGCACTAACAGACCAATAAGAGTCTAGTCGGTCATTCCACAAAGTCTGATCTCTGGTGACAACCTTGTCTCCAAGACCGGCTTCGCTTAACAAAGCAGCGCACTTGGACTTCGTGTTAGTCATGATGTCTGTATGGAGAGGATAAAAGGGATGATCAATGCTGATAAGTCATGTAGATGCAGAATGATGGATCAGGAGGCATGAAGGAAGTAAATAGTGTCAAAAGCACTCGTCCAAGCGTCCCGATCACCAACACTGTTTCAAGTATACAGAAAAGATCTTCAACTTACGCATTGTTCAGGACTTTGAAGAACCTTGACACCAGTGGTTACGCTCAAGGCGGCTCTGGCGGCGATATGGTCGAGTTTCATTGTTGCAACCGTATGATGTTATGGATGGAAAGGTGAAAGGGATACCCTCGATGTTAGCAGTAATGATATGGAGGAAGGAATAGAGAGAGGTAAGGATCTACAAGTCACGCTTGGAAAGAGAGATCGTCTCTTTATTAAACGAACACTACTGCGGAAATCGATAATCCTTTACGGATACTGGAGTTAAAGCCGAAGGGGCAAAGGGGAAGCTTGGCCTTTCGAGACGAGACGAGACGGTAATACTATTCCTCATATTGACTCAGTTGTATGTCTGTCAGTACAAAGCATAAGGACTGAGGTGAACTGCCACCGTAAGGTCCCACTGGAACAGGGCATATACAACGGAGGAAGATATCTACTTTAAGAATGGCAAGTCTTGGGTGTCTCGGACCTTGTCGAATTAGCTGCAGTGTCTTGAACTACACGCGGTAGAGAGCATCTCATCTGGCTTATGAGAATCTAGGATACCGCCAAGGGCTGTTTCGGCACTTTTCCTCGCCGTACTGATGCGTCTGCAGAGAGGTTTCGATCATCCTTGATGGAAAAGTGATATCTGATATGTTGTAAGAGACCTCGGTTAGGCCCCGTCTAGTCAGTCGGAGCACCTTGATAGGAAGGTTACAGGGCAAATGAGCTCTTGGTACCCCTGTATTACTCCACAGATGCGGCGCAGGCTCAAGTACCGGGGTCTCTGAAGATAGTCTACAGGGGTTGAAGTACCGTAGATGTGGTATGTATGTAAGTTCTATGTAAGGGCCTCGCATAACAGGAGGAGTCAGGTGATGAAACGTTGTTGATAGACCCTTATAGCGTGTAACTTAACCATACAATTAACTCTCTAACGAACCCTCTTTTATTCCGGTCATTCATGCGTTGTTTTCTTATTTCCATCAGACTGATTCTCTGGAGTGAGCCGAGGACCGAGAGCAGAATGACCCACATAGCTCTTTAGTATTGTTGATCAACTACATCCTTACCGGTAACTGATCTTCATCAATTAATTCCCCAGGGGCCTTTTATTCCGTAGCCAAAGCCACGGGAGTGTTTAGTTCCGCGAGTTGACAGGTGCTTTGACAATTCACAAAACTCTTTAGTTAATTTCCTGGGGCTCCAGATAAACGAGGCGGGCAGTATAATGAGGGGAGGCTGCTAAAGAGACAAGAGAAAAGATACAAGCCTATTGCCCATCCATTTGGGAAGGAGAGTAACGAATAGAGACAGGAATAACTAGTCTATCCCCTGATCAGTCTCAATCGTCAGTCTTGGTAACAGGGAAGTTGATGGGCAGGGGATACCCTTGGCCATATCGAACATCTCTACTGGGCGTCGAACGATTATGATTGACCTGACCTGAACTTTATGTTGAAGGAACTTTTCAATTTTTACTGACACTTCATCGTAAGTGAACCAGTGACGTATGGATCGGAAGTCGGAATGATTGCCTTGAAGAGTCTTCAACACGTAGACGAAGCCTCGAATCATAGGCTGTCGTTGGTTGATCTCGGTATCCTTGCAATCTCATGCATGAGTAATTAACACACATGAACTACTCAGATCGATAATCCCGAGCAAAAGGAAAAATAAGAAGGATGCATTCATAATGTTCTAGAAGTTCAGAGATAAGGATACTGCTACACTGTCATATAGGGCTTCGCATAAACGGTGTTCCCGTAAACGTACCATCAAACACCTTAAAACAAAGGAGATATAAACTCATTTAGGTTCGCTCCGAAGACTCCGACAGAATCCTCCAGCCGAACGAACCCTCTTGGCGTCCTGACGATCCTGCTTCTTCTCAAGTCCCTAGCTTCCTTTGACAGTCCAAAACACTTACCTTTTCAGGACTTAGTCAAGACATGTTTCTTCATGCATACATGGAGTATCTTGCCGAGTTAAGTTGTCTGTTGACTGTAACTGGGCCGAGACACTCGGACTGTTACCGTCACTGGCCGGATCGGCAGCCCATGCTTTTGTAACTACCTTATTCATGGGATCGAGAGTGCGGAATAGGTGAGCTCTTTAGAGAGGAGACAAGGATGGTAGGTGTCTTGATTCCTGAGACTTGGCTTTCATTTGAGTAAATTCCCCTGCTGGGGCTCTTTGTGAAGCCTATCATTCTGTAGTAGCGCCGGTAACTCGTAGCGAACAGAGGATGTAATCAGTATAAACACCCCCGTCAATTGAATATCAATGGAGAAGGACTTGGAGCCGCGAGTCTCATCTAAAATAGTGTGCTTCTCCTCTTATTTCAGACCTTCCTCTCCTCTCTTCCTCTTTCTTCAGGTCTGACTCTAACTCGATCTCAACAACCACACTCCTTTATATCAACAAACCCTCGAAAAGATGACGACGATAGACGGTGTTATGGTGCTTCTCCCACCGCCGGAGGGCTACGTGGTGGACTTCGACAACCCAGCGAGACAAGGCATACCGGATGCTTACTTCATTGCTGGATTTGGGTTGGCGATTAGTTTTCTGTTCTTCATGCAGAGGATGTATGTCAAGGTGTTTCTTGTGGGAGGTTTACAGTTGGATGATTGTAAGTTTGTCTCAGTCTGTTGGTTCACCGAATCGATCGAGTTTGTGGGGTGCTGGGATGTTGTTGACGTGATGGGATCGGCGTTGACGAGATGAAAATGAAATTGTGCTGACCATTTGGATAGATTTACTCATATTATCATATGTACGTGCATAAACACAGAAGCCACTGGTGTTCACAGTTACCAATCGCTTATCTAACGAAAGTATTGTTGGAAGATGCTGACTGACACTCACAGTTAATGGCTGTTACGACAGTAGCATGTTGTATTCGTGAGTACAATCGAATACCCCTGCATTGAGAGATCTAATACTGACAAGACAATAGACATGTTTGCAGCAGGAGCTGGTGGTGCTCACGCTTGGGAAATTCCTATCTCGACATTTAACATATACCTAAGGGTTGGACTCACTTGAACTTCACCTCGAATACAATCAACAGCTGAACTAACAACGAAACAGGACGTCTACATATCCGCAGTAATATACGTCCCCTGCGGCTCCCTCGCCAAAATCGCCCTCCTAATCTTCTACCTCCGCCTCTCTCCTCAACGATGGTTCAAGATCGCTGTCTACGCCTCCATGGTCTTCATCATCGGCTACACCATCGGCCTATTCTTCGCCCTCTTACTCGCATGCGCTCCCATGGAAAAGAACTGGAACGTTCTTGTTGAAGGAACTTGCGTCAATCTTCCGGCACTTTACTTTGCTACGGCAGCAGTCAATATCGCTAGCGATATCCTCCTCTTCTTTTTACCCCTTCCTATGGTCTGTCAACTTCAATTGCCCTTTAAGCAAAAGATTGGATTGATGTGCATCTTTACTATTGGGTCTTTGACTGTTATTACGTCAATTGTGAGGATGTCACTTTTGCCGGGGATGTTGCAGAGTATGGACTTGACTTGGGTTATTGCGTACCCAAGTATTTGGATGTAAGTGTTCCTCTGGCCTCATCTCCAAGTTACCTATGTTCTGACTTCAAATACAGTATCGTCGAGTCAAATCTCATCATCACATGTGCTACGATGCCAACCCTCCGCAAATTCTTCAAACACGTCGCCCCCAAGCTCATCGGCGAGTCTCGTTACGGCAGCAAAACAGGACGATCTTCAAAGTACGGCAAACCAGACACAGCAGCCTCAAAGCACTCGATCCGAGGAACGTTCGGACCACCATCATCTCAGAACCGACGCAAACGAACAAACTATTCACAATTCGACGAAGAGAACAGCCCGCCAGCTGACGAGTTTGTCATGGGACCTGTCAAGGGTGTGGGACATAACGTCAGTGCGAGTGTAGGAAACCACGACGATACGCAAACAGCGGCTGGATGGGGAGACTCGGATTCAGAGAAGGGAATTGTCGAGGGGACGGTTAAGCCGGCTATTATGCAGACCAAGACGGTCACTGTGCAATATGAGCGTTCACTATGATACCAAGTAACATGATTTGGGAGGGAGTTTATAGGTCACGGTAATGGAGGAGGTTCTGTATATCACGGTCTTTGCAATTCTAGATACCACCAAGCAACAATTCCTTTTGTATTATATAGTCTACAGTCGTTGAAGAATACTAGAGCTTTCAGCTTATTCTACTTTTAAACTTGACTTATTATCAGTAGGAATCGCAGTATGCTGTTATCTATAGCAAAGATCCAGTGGTTCCATATTACGCATTGGCTTTTGACCGATCTAATCACTAACGGTCTGATAATAGAAGGTTTACTAGTGATTTAGGTCCCAGTTGGAGGCGTTATACCTTAGTTTGACAGGTAACGTAGAGCTAAAGGAATCCTAAACACTGGCGGCTTATCACTTGGAACCACAGTTAACAACTTCCAGAAGCCTCAACTCTGGAGTGTTCTTACTCTGAAATACTCTATTTCTCTTACCTTTTCATATTAATCATATCTCACCGCAATCTGAACCCGATCGTGAGGCTTCGTGAAGAAAAAGCAAATCTCGATTTTGACAGCAGAGCTCATTTCAAAAGATCAGCGCTCAATGTCAAAGCGCAAGCTCAACTTTCGGTCACGACAGAACCGGGGACAGGGACATGAAGATCTGATCAACATCATCCAATTGAATTGACCTTCGGGGCTGATCGATTGGAGAAATTGTCAAAACCTGAGCCTCGGGTTTGCGTTGAACCCTAACATTCATATGGCAATCAATGATCCCAACCTGGTCTAGCAGTACAGTATTTGCGGCCCAATTACGACCCTTGGTGAATCTCTAGTCGCTAGCTGATCGACAGCCGTCGGTTCGGTCCTAGACTGAGTTTTCCTCGTAAAACAACCCATTGAAAATTTCTCACATAAACCTGGCGACGGTGTCACAGGCTTTCTCTGGCAGTCTCCGTAGGATTCTCTGGGGACAGGGTCTGTAACCTGGTTACGTACAGGAGCAGGCAACATCAGGTGCAGGGGAAGATCTCAATGTTACAGAGTGTAGATCTTGGCATTCAGCCAGGACAAGGGTTAGACTCCAGGGGATACTCACGTTCACATGCTTGCAGTTGTATCAGTGGCTTTGACCCGCAAATTTACGGAACCGATATGAGTTTCGAGGCGAGAAGATTCAGGCGAGACTTACGAATCACTTTAAGAGAGTGAATACTTTGTCGTCCTATAAGAAGAAAAGATGTATACGAAAGAACCAATTGAACCAATGACAAGACAAACTAACAAGAACAACTCATTATCATTTACTCCAGGGTATGTTAATTATCGCTACCAATACAATGACTTTCCTAAGCCCACGCCTCCTTAATCATATCAGCCGCCTTCTCACCAATACCATAGGCAGGCATCTGAGTATGTCCGTTGTTCACAGTAGGCATGATAGAGCAATCAGCGACTCTCAGTCCCTTAACACCGTAAACCTGCAACTTCTCATCAACAACAGCCTTAGGGTTGTCCTTCTTGCCAGCAGCGCAAGTTCCACTGGCGTGGTAGCAAGTAGTAGCGTTATCCTTGACATACTCCTTCCAGTCATCACGGGTCTTGTGCTTGTGGTGAACCAAGTCAGAAGGCCACGAGCCCTTGACGATGTCCTTTGTACCAGCACCTTCGACAATGATCTCGTTGCCGAAAGCGCAGGCCTCGGCGAGGACTTCGAGGTCGAGAGGGTCGGAGAGGTAGTTGCAGTCGACAACGGGGATGGCTGTGGCTTCGGCGTTGCGGAGGGTGACGGTACCGCGGGACTTGGGGGCGAAGAGCTCAGCGATCATGCTGAAGGCGTGGTTTCCGTTAATGGGGAATTGGTCGAATTGCTTAGGACCGCCGTAGCATTCGGTAGTGAAAAACTCGACCTGAGGCTGCTTGGGAGACAAGCCCATGGGGTCACGACCTTCCTTTCGAGGAGCGTTGTTCCAGATCTCAGAGTCCTTAAGACGCTCGTCAATACGGGCATAAGCAAAGATACCGAATGGGAATGCAGTCATGGGACCCTTCTTCTCCTCCTTCCACTGAGTAAGAGCCTTAGCCAGGGCGTCGCCGTGGTAAACGAGAGAGTCAGTTGTGATGCCCTCCTTCTCAGTCTCGTAGAACATGAACACGATCAAGTGGTCCTGGAGGTTCTTTCCAACACCGGGAAGGTCGACGAGGGTAGTGATACCGTGCTGCTCAAGCTCCTCCTTAGCACCAATACCTGATCGGTTAAGAATGTTAGGAGAACAGTAAGCTCCTCCACTAACGATAACCTCCTTAGCAGCCTTGAGCTCAACAACAGTGCCATCAGGCTTAACAGCACGAACACCGGTAGCCTTGAGGTCACCGTTGGCGTCCTTCTCGATAACAACCTTGTCGACGTGAGTCTCAACCATGAGGTGGAGGTTATCTCTGTGCTTTTGCTTAGTGATGAAGTCTGCACTTGTGGTACGAAGGCCCTGGTGGACTGTTCTAACTGAGTGACCGCATCCGTGGGGGTTCTCGCCTGTAGAGAACATGTCGTGGTCCATGGGGAGACCCTTTGAGACCATGGACTCTGCGATCATGTTGGAGATGGGAGCCAAGTCATGGGGCTCAGTGTGGACAAAACCTTCATGGCCGTGAGATCCCTTGGTCTCCTTGAACCAAGGTTTTGTGTGAAAGTGCTCAGCCTGTATCAGTCAGTCTCTGATATGTCTTTGAGGCTTCAACCCGTCCTAATAGGATTGTCACTGTGAATGCATCCGTCAGTACATACCTTGGCCATGTACTTGAAAAAGTCCTCACCGCTCCAACCGGGGAGGTTCCAGTCATCGTAATCTTGTTTCTGTAGACCATCAGTATGTTGGACATTGCTAACACGGAACCATGAACTTACCATTCCCTTAACCATCAAGGTGCCGTTGCATCCTGAAGAACCGCCAAGGAACTTTCCTCGGCTGAGCTTAACTTGACGGTCATTGACACCAGGACCTTGTGTAGAGACAACATTCCAGTCAGTCTCCTTGTCAAAGTTCAGAGACCATCTGCCGAACTGTTAGTCTGAGACTCTCCTCGAGTGGCGAGTGAGTACTTACCCTCCAACCATGTGGACATTCTCGAGATGCTCGTTATGCTGACCCGCCTCGATGACGAGAACCTTGACATTGGGATCTTCAGCAAGACGTGCAGCAACAACGCATCCAGATGTGCCGCCACTGTGACGAGTTGAGTCAGTAAACTGTTGGTTCTGATTTGCATTATCACAATGTCTGAGCGATTTAGGCCAAGACTTACCCGCAGACGATAAAGTCATATGTTGTTTCCGGAACAGCCATATTGTTGGTTTAATTAAGTAAGTGATTCGGGTTAAGGGAAGAGTATAGTATGGTATAGCTGGGGAAGTATAAGGCGGAGATGTACAAGTTAAGAAGACCACATCTGTATGTAGGCGTTTAGATTTCTCTTATATGTGATAGCCTCAGTCCAGTCCCACTAACGTATTGACCACCGCCTATACCATCAACGAGGAAACGAATGAAAGTGGTGCCACCCAGTAACCTTGTCCTTGTCCTGTGTTGCCTCGCCTTACCATTGAGGGGGGTTTCAAGGGTTCATAAAAAGGAAAAGGATTCGTAAAGGTGTAGCAGAGATATGCAAGAGAGATCCATCAAACCAAACCGAATAAAGACTCTGGGCACACTTTCGTTTCTCTACGCTGTCTTATTCCCTTAGCTTGACACTTAGCACGGCCGGTTTCCATAGTTCCTGACCTGACAAGGACCCTTAAAGGGTATCGGACAGTCTCAGTTGTTGAATTGAACCAACAAGATGCAGCTCTGCATGTGCTATGCTATGTTATGCTAACTGTTACATGGCAAGGATGGGATGTCAAGAGCCAACAGACTAACTATTCCTGTAGATACTCTACTACTCACCAGGTAAATATTGATCAACTAATTAGGTGTTGTAGCCACTAAACTTGACTAAACTTAGCTGAAGATTGTCTCCATCTCGGAAACCCTCAACGTTTCCCCCCAGGTGAACCAATCGGGGAAGGCCCCTCGACTTATTCAGTCTTTGGTCAACAACGTTGCATTGCGGGACAAAAGAAGCATAAAACCGCCGTCAAAGCCGGTCCGGAGACAGCAAAGACCGGGTCCGCGGCCCTCGCAAATCCCCTATTTTCACGCATAGCCGGAAGTTCTTGGGCTCTTGGCTACAGGGGAGTTGACTCCATCAATACACATATAGAGTCCTGTTGGTCATGCATCTTCGGCACTTGACAATCAGGTTTGAGGCGAATGTCTCAGCTTTGATCTTGATCTTTCAGAAAGGAAGAACAGAAGAAAAAAGAATAAACAACCAACAGACATAAAAAAGCCGCTGACGACGTTGCATGTACGTATCTCGGGGGTAGAGGCTAGGGGTTAGCGGCTTGAAGATCTGCGCGTCAAGCGAGTCGAAAGGCTGAGTTTAGTTCCCATTGACCCAATTCTCCAGGCATTAGACGCATCAGTGGATCTGAGCACGTCCTGGATTACTTTTCTTATTTGTTCTAGCGGGGGCTTTCATCCCCTTGGCATTATCATTTCCTTTGCTTTTCCTACAAATCTGTACTAGAAGCAACCAGCAGTGACCGTTTTCCCTATTAACTCCCCACAGACGGCGTTGATCTCTAAACAGGGTCTCGAGTAATGGCAATGCACTGACTGAACTGAGGTTTAGAGGGCAATACCCGTTGCCGTAACCCTTGTCTCTATCACTTACAAGGGACCAACCAACACTGTGGATCTGCATATGCAACGACCAGGTTCTGGTGAAGAACAAGGAGCAGAACGACAGGAAGAACCCCAAACGAACCGGAGAAAAATGGTTCGAGATTATATTGCGACTTGTCTGGAGAAGTCCAGGGTTCAAGGATCACAGGCCAGAACCGAGTAACTGTAACAAGTCTGGAGTAGTACTGCGGATTAGAGTACACAATGACAACTCCCTGATACTTACCTAGAGAAGCAGGTGATGAACCTCATCAAATCGATATAGACCAATAGCAGTCGACTAAGTCATGCATTCAAGGTTGTCCAGCTTCCGATCCACCAGATCTCCAGTTTATTTCCTTGAAGGAAGTGAAAGTGCCGCAGCGGCAAGGAGGCGAAGGATTCATCCATCATGATCGAGCGTCAGGGTAACAGAAAGGCTGTCTGCTGAAGCCCAAGGTGCCAAAATAAAGTGATCTAAATGCTAGTCTAAAATGGTATAAACTGACTGATTACTTTGTCCTCGAGGCTCTTGGCGGGCAGTTCTTCTGACACCCTGACGTCGAGTTAGAGTCTAAGTCGTTACCCTCAGACGAGGCAAGAAAGGCAAGGCAAGACCACAAGATGGTCAATGCCTCTATGAAACTCGGCCAAAAGGGGGGCGTGAAGAATCCTACGACATAGTTACAGACACTACCTGGTACCTCGATACGTACAGTCGTAACTTGCTCTCTGTATGGGTGACAGCTTCGTTAATTAGTTAATAACATGGCTATGCCTGCTATTTCCAGGAGCCGCCATCGTTGCAATTCCCGAATCACATAAACGTGGCTGGCATCTGCCGTATCACTTACATCAACAAACGCCATCGCCGTCTCCATTCTGCATCTTCGACTCTTTCAAGCTCAACCCCATCACTCCTTTTGCTTTGCTTTGCTTTGCTTTGCCTTGCCTTGCCTTGCCTTTGAGCACCAGTCAACATGGCAGCCTCTCCCTTTCAAACAGAAGCCTGGATAGAATATGGTCTTGGAACATTGGTTCTACTCCTACGATACTTTGCAAGATGGAAAACAGTGGGCTTCAAGGGATATCAAGGAGATGATTACTTTGCTCTTGTAGCGTTGATCTTCTGGACAGTATGTCATCACTCTCTTCCACTCTCAGTTTCAATTACTAACTGAATCTCCAAAGGCAGAGTTGGTCATGTTGGAACTCATCGGTAGGATCATTAGACATTGTCTCTGTTGGTTCGCACAACTAATCCCTACAAACAGGTCAATCCGGCACCAACATTGGCGTTACCGACGAGATGGGCGCCAACATGTCGGCTGCAGAAATCGCCAAGCGAGAATTCGGCTCCAAGTGCCTCCTTGCAGGATGGAACTTTTACGTTACTCTAATCTTTTGCTTGAAGGGAGTTATGCTTTGTCTATACGGCCGCATGACGTACGCACAACCAATTCTTTCCGTTATTAACATTTACTAACATAGTTGCTTATAGACTTGGTCTCTGGCAGAGAAAGATTGTCATCTGGACACAGGTCGGAACAATTCTCGCTTACCTCAGTGTCCTTGCTGCCATCTGGGGTCATTGCACACCTGTTGAGAAGAACTGGCAGATTTATCCCAACCCTGGTGGTAAGTTCTTAACTACTTACTTATCAAGAGCCTAGAATCTAACAACTACAGATGCTTGCACACTCGCTGTTGCCAACTACCTCACCTTGGTTGTCTTTAATGTTGTGTAAGTTCAACTGCACTCTCGCTCTATACTTGACTAACATAATTAGAACCGACATCTTCATTGTTGCTATCCCCGTCCCTCTACTATGGGCAGTCAAACTTAGCGTTAAACGAAAGATGTTGATCGGCGTTCTCCTTTGTTCTGGTGTTTTCATCATCATTGCAACACTACTTCGCTGCATCTTTTCTCTCCAGTAAGTTATTCGGCCCATTAATCTTACTGCAGCTCTAACGATTTAACAGGGACATCAATGGTATCAACACCTCGACTATCTGGGCCATCCGAGAAACCTTTGTCGCCATCATCGCTGTCAACGCCGCCGCTATAAAACCTCTCTTCTCCGCCTCCAAGTGGCTCGTCTCCAGCAAGGGAAGCAGTCGCGACAAGGGAGGCAGCAGCTACGTCCACAAGCATGGCCACGCTCTGGCGACTATCGGAGGCTCTGGAATCACTGGAAGCTCGGCGAACCGACACCAAAACAAGAAGTACTTGGCGCATCTCGACGATAACTCGAGCGAGGAACACATCGTTGGAAAGCCAGAGTTTGTTTCATACAACAAGAATGAGGTTAGAGCTGGAAGTACGGCAAGTGAACGAAGCGACGCTCAGGATGGCATTATGGTCACCCGAACATACGAGGTTTCACCTGGAAAGTCGACTCTGGACGTGTAAAATTATCAAGTACTTGGGCTATGGAGTTATGTCAAATTGGAGATACCAGGGACTACGTTCAAAACGAACAGGAACATATACACAATTAATTTAATGGGTCAAAATACAGCATCTTGATGCTTGATTTCATGTTATCATTTGGCGTCTCAGAGATTACAGTATCTATCTCACCTCAGCTCAGTCGTCCTAGTGATATCTCCAGATCCTTCAGCACCAAGTCTCCGCATTCATTAGCCCTTAACCCCTAGAACGGAGTAATCCCGACCTAAATCTTACCTAGCTAAAGAGAGTCCATAAGGCGTAGTTAGCGCTGAATTCCTTCTCTGGACCTCTGTAGTTGGTGGTTGGTCAACTAAAGCCCACCAGACTTGTCTCGGCAGTCATTACCTAGTCTAGCGTCCGTCCAGCTGACAAGGCGTTAGCCTAGTGAGCGATAGCAATAACAGTCATTAGTTATGTCTAGTGGCCTCTAGTTACGCTACGCTACGAGACCAGGTTCAGCAGTCTCAGGTCTCAGAGCCCCTTCACCTGTACCGTCCAATTACCGTTTAGTTTCCCCTGAATCATTCTTTTTTTTTTGCCGCGTCAAATCCGGCTGAAGATCTTTTCCTATGACATGATTCGGGAATAACTTGGCACCTTCAGGCTTTCGCGTCACTTTGCCGTAGAACAGAATTCTACAGGGGAACCTGGCTAGTTCAGCATGGGGGTTGGAGCGCGGTCCGCAACTCTCTTTTACAGGGGAGGAGAGGGAAACCTTTTAAACCTAACAACTTGCTGATATCCTGGCGGAGCGTTTCTTCCTTTCGACCGGAAAACTGGTAAACGATCAAGATATTCTATCATATTAGAGTTTCGCCAAAAAAGCAATTAAGACATGCAGATGGCACTTTGCCTGCCTTTGAGATACGAAAGAGAGATCTTCAACAGGGCTTCAATACTCCACGTGCTTTGCAATCAAGTGCAGGCCAAGATGATTTGCATGCCTTTTTCGGATTGATGCCATATAGTCGTTGTTCGTTCCTGCCAGCTTGCCCCGGAGTTGAAGTTGTTGATCCAAGACTGGCTTGAGTCAGTTCATGTGATGATATAGTCATGTATATATGAACGCGCGCTTGGCCACCAGCAATGTTTCATTTACGAGTCGTAAAGAGAGGCTGTCGCCAAATTCTCTGGATGATCAACATGCCAAGTCCACTGGTGGTTTGTGTTGTTGGTTCTATCGATTCTTTCGGATAATCACCTGTAGGATCTGCCATGAGATCTGGAGGCGCAATCTCATCACCCTGAATGGCTTGTTTATTACATTCATTCCCTTGTCTCGGACTTCGGCAAGGCGGTAGATAGATATCCCTGACGCCTCTTCATTGCCTCATCAGCTCGCATCAGCTTGTCCCTGACTGCTTGGCTAGCTCGGGAGAAGGGAGGGATATGTCACTCTGTCACCAACACCGCACGCTAGAACTTCTAGTTCTTATGAATAGCCTCGTAGTGCTTTGGGAAGATGCTGAACTGCGGACCATATCCTCCTGCAATCTCGAGGTTTTATGTTATATCGTGGTGGCAAAGTTCTGTCCTCATCACTATTCGAGCTCGCTTGGGATGGTTCTGCTTTACCGGACCGCGGGTTACAAAATAATGAGCAAGTTTATAAGAGCTAATATATAGATGTACATGATGTGGGATTTCCAAGCGACTGTGCTTTCTTCCTCCTTATCCACAGTTGCTGTTGGCAGGGTATATCCGCCAACCTATCCTTCGCCTTCTGGAGAACAAACAAAACTATGTCCTTGGCGAAACGTCCAGTCAATCCAAAGCCCCTCTTAGTTCTTTCCAGCCTTCTCAGCACCGCTAAACCAGCTCTGGATAACAGGCCAGTAGGTGTAGTGCACGTAAACATCCGCAATGGCAGCGACCGTGAGGCCTACTTTAGCGTATCGCTTGTTCTGAGGAGAGAGGTTGTTCCATTTGGTCATAAGGGAAGCAGGAGCGCTGCTAGCAGTAACATTCTGCTTGGGCGAGGTAGTCGAGATATACCTGCGAGCGCCCTGCAGGGCAGAGGTGGAGAAGCGGGTGGTAACAGTGGGCATCATGGTGTTTTGTGGGGTTGAAGTTGACTGTTTGATAAAGTATTGAGGTGTGATTTTATTGTGAGATGACTCTTGATGCTGTTGATTGATTGATTGTTTTGTATTGCGTTTTACAACTTTTAATCGAGTTACAGATATCCTATATATACATCGTTGAGCAACATGACCCTTACACCTAATACCGTTATGCTTAACTGTTAAGCCTAACGACCCACCAACGCCTCGCTCATAAACATAATCAACATTCTCTATAATCCAGCATTACACATAACCTTATCAACCACCAGGCCTTTGTGGTCGGTTCATCGTCAGTGGTTTGAATGGTTTTCGCAATCGGTCCATTGACGGTGCTGGTCCCAAGCCCACGGGTCGCCTTACACCACCATTGGGCTTAGCCGACATGAATGTAGTCGCATGAAGACTCGAAGCAGGCTTGTTAGGCATTTCTTCTTCGGTGTTCTTATTGTCTTCTTCCTTCCTCAACGGAGGTCGCGGTGGTGAACTGGAGAAGCAGGAGTACGGTTTTCGAGGACCGCCATCATCTACCTTGGGCACATTGGGCTTCGCCAAGGGTCGTCCAGTCGGCAATTTGTGTTTCGCCAATTCTGGATCAATCGCTGGTTTTTGTGGTGGCAATGCAGATAACCCGGCGTGCAAGCTGTTCTGTCGCGACAAAGTTGCCTGATACCGAACCTGCGCGAAAGACTTACTCTGTTGCGGTTGTGGTTGAGGCTCAGGCGGAGGCTTAGGTGCATTTGATCCTTGGTTAAGCCAACCAAGCATACTCCTTTGACCGACGCCCCGTTTGGTTGATCCCTTCTTCGGTCCTGGTTTCGAGCTGGCCGCCTGCGCTGCGCTTGCTGCAGCTGCAGCATCCAGAGCGACTCTATGAGCTCCGGCAGTTGTAAAACCTGGCAAAGCAGAGACAGTGAAATCGGATGCCTGCTCCATTGTTGTAGCATACTCCCTCTGCCAAGGAAGCTCATCTGTTTCGTCGTAAGAGGTAGTAGGTTGTGCAACACGCTGTCGTTTCGGTGCTCGAGAGAATTGTCGACCAGTTTCTTCATCGTACCTATCCACGTTCTTTGGGTCGATAGGGTCAATTGGGAACATGTCATCTTCGATTGAGGACATAGGAGGGAGCTTTCCAAAAACTGTTTTCTCAGATGGAGCATCTCGGCCAAGAATTTTGGCAACACCTTCCACGACTGCTCTGTCGAATGATGGACCCTTTTTGGCGAAGACCTTGGACGCAAACGGTGCAACGAACGGTGAAAGCTCGACTTTACTGCTCATACCTTGAGAGCCATATAGCGGACAGCTCAGATACAGCAGCGATTGTGCTCGTGTCATTGCCACGTACAAAAGACGCCTTTCCTCATCTGTATCTTCTGATCTTGAGTGAGGTATCGATCCTGTGTAAACCGATGGCACAAACACAACAGGCCACTCCAATCCTTTTGCTGCGTGAATCGTCGATATCGTGACTAGAGACTTCTGGTCCTTTGTATCGCCCTTGTTCTGTGCGTCCGATGCAAGCGATACATTGGCCAGGAAGCGGCCCAGCATATCGTCATTCTTCACCTGGTCAAGGTCCTCGATTTCTGGAAGCGCATCTTCTTCTGGGGCGCCAAAGTCTTTCATGAAGTCGGTGACCAGATTAATAAATTCCTGAACGTTGGCCCATCGCTGTTCGTGATCTTCTGTGTATTCTTCCTCGAGATACTTCTTGAAATCGAGGTGCGTTAGTAATTGTTCTAGCAGATTTACCAGAGTAACCGGGCTGCTCTGGCTAATTTCGCTGGCTTGTTTTTGTAAACTCTTAATGGTTCGAATAAGTTCCGTGTTGAGCTTTTGCTCCATCTTGGGTCTGATGTTGGCTTTGGCCTTGCGGTCGCCTCTGCAGTGTTTCAAGATCAGGGTCCAGAGGCTCATGTTGGACTGCTCGGCTTCTTCGATCAGGGACTTGACTGTTGCCTCTCCAATGCCTCGTCTTGGTACGTTGATGATTCTAGCGAGCGCGTCGTTGTTCTCAGGCTGGCTGACCACTCTGAGGTAGTCAATCAACACTTTGATCTCTTTTCGTTCGTAGAATTTGTGCCCTCCAATCATTCGGTATGCGACACCAGCTTTTCCCAGAGCTGATTCGATATGCCGGGAAAGGGCAGCAGATCTCAAGAGAATTGCGACATCTTCAAATTTGAGCATCTCCCCAAACATCATGACTGCTCGCTTGATTTCTGAAACAATCCATTCGCCTTCAGCAGACGAGCTTTTCAACATTCTGAGTACCGGTCGCGCTCCCTTAGTATGCACCGGTAGCAGAACTTTCTTGTATCGCTTCTTGTCTTGCTGAATAACATCAAGCGATACATCCAAGATAGCCTGTGAAGATCGGTAATTTTCTTCCAGTGAGATTTCGTCTGTATTGGGGTATTCTCGCAGCAAACGGAAAAGGTTTTTGACCTCGGCCGATCGCCAACCATAGATACTCTGATCGGGGTCACCAACGATCGTTATTCGTCGGTTTGCTTGAGCGAAGAGTTTCATAAGTTCGTACTGGATGCCGTTGGTGTCTTGGTACTCGTCGATGAGGACAGTCTGAACATTGGAGACGCAAGCCGGGTGATCTCGAAGCAACTCAACGCATTTTACCAGAAGGTCATCGTAGTCCAGCAGATTTGATCTCTTGAGTTGAGCTTGGTATTCGTCGTAGCATGTCCTGAGCGCTGGGTTCTCCTTTCTGCCTTTCTGCGATGGAAGTGGCACCGCTGCATTTGGGCCTTTCGCTTTCTCTTTGCTAATCCATGATTTTGCGTGTTGAGGTTCGATGCTGAGACTCAGCCTTTTGCAGATTCTCTGAATAATTGCCCTGGAGTCTCCATCATCTGCAATGCCAAATTTCGCCTCCAATCCGATTCGGTTTCCGTATATGGACAAATATCTTCGCGCGATCGAGTGAAACGTTCCAAGCACAATTTTCTTTTCGCATTCTTCGCCCAGTATTTTTCCAATTCGCTCTTTCATCTCCCTGGCGGCCTTGACGGTAAATGTTGCGACGACCACGTCGGAGGGGCGATAGCCGACTTGTTGGATAAGCCATACTACACGCGATGTAAGGGTATGGGTCTTTCCACTTCCGGGGCCAGCGAGAATGGCAACAGTCGGTGCAGTTGATGTTACGGCGCGGCGTTGCGCCTCGTTCAGAGATTGAAGAATCGCATCTTGTGTGATGGCGGGCATGTTGGGTACGTGGACGAATCCACGGAATGATGTTGATCAGTAGAAGAGAAAGGTATCATCGAAACATACAGGCCCATGCGAAATTTTCGAATGGGATAAATGTTGCTTGAGGTTTCAACTGTAAAGTTGCCGTCGTTCGCTGCCGCTTTCGATCGAGGGGCGCGTTGATGGAACGGCCCATTAAGGTCCCGCGACGCGCGAAAGTTCGCGATGTCACGTGATCGGTCTGGTCGAACTTATAGGGTAGGTCTCCTTCAAATCCTCATAATTCTATCTCTATAGCTTCAATCCTCATTAATCAATACTAAGACCACTACGCCTAATGTTTCTTTCGTATTTCTGTGTTATTTGGCTCTACGGGTACGGATCTTGTAGTTAGGTACACTACTAAATAATCGTATCGTTCCTTCACCAATCATCAATTGCTGAGCTCGGCAACGATGAAGGAATCACAAAATGTTTCCGACTGATATATCATGATGCTTATCACCACCTACTTCACTTTCACATTACTATGGTCACATTGCAGCTACGCTAAGACTCTAATATCACTATCACTATCACGGTATTTGCATCAGTCACCGCTAATCAGCTACAAAAGTTCGTTGCGACCGTGATTCCCACTTCGGTTAATGATCGTTGAGCAATTGAGATATGGAAAGAGTATGATATTGATTTGACTTGAATCGCCAAATCGAAACCCCTACTGATATCAAGGTCTCTCATGCTTGATTAATTGCCGAAGGACTCACACATGAATGGGCATGTCATGCAGTTCAAGGCGGCAACTCAGTATTGTGGATCAACGTTCACTTACACGCAAGCTGGGTTTACACAAGACAAAATTCTCACCGCATCGAAATATGTTTTAGCTTTGTATCATTGTCCGACATGGGAGTTGTATTAAGATTGTCACGTCTCCAGCAAGCCGTCACCAACCATATCGCTCAAGTCACTTTACCAGGGTAGTATGAAGTTATAGTCGTGCGATAGTAGTGCGACTTTACACAATAGGCGCCGAGACCATCACTTCTATTCGAGGGCATCAACAACGCCATCGCTCTAGCAATGCCGAACAACCTGATGTCACACCCAAGAACAAGAATAAGACCTCATTCGAAGATTTCAGCACATCACATGATGAGAAGCCGAGTGGGAATATCCCACATGGTCCAGGGCCCGACAGCATGGAAGACGCAGGCAACACGCACAATTGGGCCTCAAAGCAACCCTAACGGCTTCGCCTATGCCGTTAGCTGAGTGATAGATCAACGGGTTTCACCTATCACTGGTCAGTAACGATGTGCAGATTCAGGAACGTGAAGTTTGACCCCTCTTGGTGATGATGAAGGCCCTCACATTCACTCAACTAGCATGGATCGCCCCGCCCCACTCGGAACCCTTTAATGCCAGAAACGACAACCATAGAAAAGCTTTAAAAGAGAAGATAAAAAACGCTGCAGTGTTCAGTATCCCGGCATATTGGATTCTCGAACCAATTATCAATCGAGATATGTGGATATCGGTGGTTGGTGGTGGTAGCTCAACACCAATCAATCGCTAGCACACTATATCGCCCAGCGGTTACCCATCCAATCACGTCTTGTAGATGGCCTCGTCACACTTCGACCCTCACATATCGCCTGCAACCACTGTTGCCATCACCAAGGGTATTGAGCTATTCTCGGGCGCCTCCTCATGCGTGCGTCTGCGATTCGACCACTTCCAGAGGACTGGCGTTGCTCCTCCAGCGACTCAGCATCCAGCCCTGGATAGTCCAGCGGCTAACGCATGGTGATGGACGATCATGACCCAGCCCGCTATATACCTCGTTGAGACCGCAAGTTCCCTCTTCCGTGCATGATGTTCTTCTCCTAGTGTTTCGTCTCATTGTGTTCAGGAGGTCACATCGCACAAGCTGGCTCCTCCATAAAGAATAAGTGTCTCGCCTTCGACCTCGTTTCCCACGATGCTTCTTGAAGGTGCTCGCTTGTCTCTATTGCCCGGCCTGCTACTACATCTGTCACTCTTTGCAAGTGCTCAACCTGGTCCTCTTCTATCCTCGGTGCTCGAAACCCGGGACACAGACAGGCCTTTACCAGGACCTGTAGATACAACATATCTTCCCGCTCAGATCGGTGGTATTGTTGGAGCATACGCCGTCTCATTGGTGCTGGTCGCCATAACATTGCTTGCTCTATCCAAGAAGCGTCGTGAACATATATCAGCTGGAATCGACGACGCCGACTTCGCTGTCCGCAAAGACATTGTCAGCCCCGACTTTCCGCCAGTAGCGCCTACATCTCTGAATATCATCACCGACCCCGAATTCTTCAAGCCAGGCCTTCCGGATTTTCACGAAGGTGGTAATCCGTATATTCACCCGTCACCAAACTCGAGCATCGGAGCACCTGGCACAAACCCTTTCGTGGACCCTCGCGTTGTCGCAGTAGACAGAGTCATGGCTCAATCCCAGCTTGAAGACATGTACAAGCACGTGCTTGAGCATGAGGATGCAAAGAAGAGAGGAGTTGTATATGAGGTTCCTCTTCCTCCCACTGCTCACCACCAACCACGACCTTCGGCCTCTGGATCAGCTCTGTCTCTGAAGTCTTCGACATCTTCGCCCTCGAAGCGGGAGAAGAGCAAGCCGGCAACCCTCAACCTTTCGGCCTCTCGTGAGGAAAAGACCCAGTCAAGGACCTCTTCATTCCTCTCAGCGCTCCGGTCTCCCAAGAAGAAGGCGGTCAAGGGCATGAGTATTTCATCACCTCTCATGACTCCCCAGACTGGTGAATTTCCTCGACAGGAATACCAAGAGATGAATGCAATTCCTCCCCGACAATATGCTCCGGCCGCTCCGCCTCCGGTCCCCACCAACCAGGCCCCATACGGATCTCCAGCTTTCCCGGCCAAGGCCCATTCGTCTCTCCCGACCCCGGATATCTCACCCGAAAGTGTCTTGAGTATTGATGAGCGTATCGGAAACCAACTGCCTCCTCCTGGCCACCATCGACAAGTATCATATGCTCCTTCAGAGCGTGATCCTGAGTCCGCCACCTCGGAGCACTCCCAGGTACCGCTTGTCGGTCTGCCATCTTCTCCCAAGCCTGGTGCAAGATTCCCGTCCGGGACTCTCCCATCTCTCCCTGCATCGCCCAAGCCTGGTCAGACCTTCCAACGCACCAACGCACCATCAGCTGTCCGCACTGGTGGTTCTCTGCCCTTGCGTGCCTATGAGCCAGCGCTGGCCTCGCCTAACACCATTGCACACACTACCAAGCAGACAGTGTTTGAGAGGAAGGGACCACTATCGCCCAGCGGAGCAATGACTCCTCATACAGCTGGTGCCGTGCCGTACTCACCTTATCAACCCTTCACGCCATGCATGCCAGTGACACCGTCACTGATTACCAAGGACGACCGAAAGAGGATGAGACGTATGGTGCCCAAGACTCCGACCCTGGAGATGGTACAGAGTTCAGATGACGTTTGGTAAAAGAAACAGGCCGGTCGGTTGGAGTTTGTGAGATGATTTACAGGGTATTACACTGCATTGTTTTCCTAAGATATCACGGGTTATGAAAGAGACGGATCTTCCCGGTTCAGTCAAATGAAATGCTTAGAGCTAGCCCACGGGCTCGCGGGGACTTATTAGCAACGGCCGCAAGGACCAGAACAACTTTATTCGCATAAACTCTTTTTTTGTATATCACATTTATTACCTTCAGAATACGGATTCGGTTTAGATTGAATTGGCTTTCGATACATCCCACAGTGTGTAGAAATGTTTCTCCTGAATACAACGCGTTGTTTATTCTCCCCTGATCGATGGTCGCTAATCGGGGACCAAACAAGCCATTCAAGCCATTTAATGCAATGTCATATTAGAAAGCGACAAGCGTCGAAACTAACGACTGACGCAAGTTTGATCTTCGATATGGGTAATCTGGTTCTAACCTTACAAGATCAGGAGTCGAGGGTTTCGGGTAACAACTGTCGCTTTGATCATTTCGTGGCGGCGGGGCGACCTGGGAATAGTTCGCCGTGGCGGTCACTGCTGAGCGGTAGGGCAGCTGAAATATCCGGCAGCTAAGCAAAATACGGAAGAAAAGCTCGCATTTCTTGTTCAGCTCGGGTTCGTAGGCGAGGCAGGGCCTCGACAGCTCGGTATTTGTATGCTGCTATCCGTCAACCAGATGCAGTTTGCCGCAGCGATGGTTGTACAAGACAGTAGGTCAAACATATAATGAACTGACTTTCAGATCAGCTCGGGTTCCTAGAAACAAGGCTTCGCTTGCTATTGGCAGCCGTTGCCATCAAGTACCTGCCCAACGAGACTCAGCTGCATCCGCGATGCCGGGATCCCGTCGCTTGGGTTGTGACTACCGCTGGCTGGAATGTATAAGTCTTCGTCAAGCACACGAGGCAATGAATGTATGGGCGTGAGACTCGCGTGGCTGGCCCGAGACAAGCTTAGTAGTGCCACGGAATTGTTTCCTCTCGACAGTGTGCTGTAGGACATTAGTTATCTCATGGAGATAACAAGAAGTGCGAAAATAGAATCGATATCTGCGCGTAGTGATGACTTCATCTCCATGATACAAAGTAATTGTTGGGTATTTCATCGAGTAATTGATTTTTGAAGAACAGACCCCTGGTTCTTTTCTTGACAGGCAAGGGTCTTTCATTCCAATCGAAGCAATAAAGTTGACATGTTCCTAGTGACAACCGATGAGTCTAGACGGGGCGCACAGTGTACGTTTCGGGGAAGCATTGTCTGAGACAGAAAGTCGGGTGGGTGACAGAAGAATCGTCTTCCAAGGCTTAAACTACAGTAATGAAGTTGGCTAAGTGCTCGCCTAAGCCAGCATAAAACGACCAAATTATTTCGTCTCTTATAATCTCGGGATCGATTCTTCTGATACCTTGAGGAAAGTGTACCAAAAAGAGGGACAGTAACCAAGTGTACTGTGTTTGATAGATCGCTAAAACTGTATAGTCCAGGCCGTCAATCCTCCATTTTGCCCCCTCCTCCGGGGACGTGTAGTGTCTCAGTTGCTGGACCAGATCCTCGGCCGCCCAATCAATAGTGGTTTTACACACTGTATTATAGCTACCAACAGCCAGTGAGTGTTCGGTTACAAAATGGAAGGTGGAACCCACGGGAATTCGTCACTCGCTTGACCTTAGTATCCGTATTTCTTTAAAAGAACGAGCTTGGCCAAGCGCGGACTCGACTGGGCGTCACTGGGCTGATACCCGGTTACCATCGTACGATTTTCCGCCCTCTCCTCAAACTGAATTCCTTGGATCCATCGCTCGCCTCCGAATCTTTGCTCAAATTGCACGTTCTTTTCACCAGCAAAATTATCAACCGTCGCTTGCCAGTCGAACCATAATCACCAGACTGCGCTGCTCTTCCCTTGCTGTGGAACCCCTGTACTGTCCTTTCTCACCTGTCAAACATCCGGCAACACCCGCTTAATCATTCGATCACTGAGGGATTGAGACACCATCACTGCTCTCTGGTTACAGCACGCCCTCACCACCGACTCTATACCGACCGATCGACCGTCTTAGCATAGGCTAGAGAGGCCTGTCAATTGATCACTGACCCTTATTCAGCACGGTCTTTGCATCATAGCTACAGTAGCTGTCCCTGCGCTGCGCTGCATTGCGCTGTAACTGTCGCGATCGCGGCCAAGTCCATTCCACGCGCGGGACTCAATTCAATCTGCAGCAATAGGTAGTCGGCAGTCCATCAGATCCTTGCTATACCAATTGGTAGCATTGTCGGCCAAAGTTGTCGTCTTCCCGAAAGGCCTCGATCTCTAACGGCGACTCCTTCGGGGTCACCCAATTACTGGGTCAATCAATCAGCCCATCGCTACTGCATGGTGCTGGCCCATCATGCCTGGCTCTCACTTCTCTGACATGGCCGACCAAGAGTCCAACGGCCTTTATGGTCTTCAAGATCCGAATCTGGGCTTTGTTGACGATGGCTCGGTCGTGAAATCCGACCCCTCCTCAACCTCCCTGCCCAACGATTCCTCCCGCCCCCAGACCCAGCAGCAATACTACGGCGCTGCATGGCAGTTCACCGGCACGCCCCCTTACGACTCGTACGATCCATCCAGCAGTGCTCCTCCAGCTCAAAGCAACTACCAGACCTCTTGGAATTTCAACCTTGGTGATCAGCAGAACCCTCAACAACTGCCAGTCTCTACCGGAATTGACAGCCTTGCGGCAACCACCTTCAGCCCCGAATCCATCTACGCCGCTTCTGATCCTTCCCTCGGCCAAGGAAATTTCCCAGAGAATCTCGCTCTTCAGCCCCCAATTATTAGCCATCTTACTCCTGCGCTGCAGGAGAAGCTACGCAACATCGCCATGCCGCCTCATCTCCAATACCACTCTCCGAAGAGCGCCTCCAGCCCCGACTCAGCAAACGGCGAGCTTATCAGGAGAGGACTCCTCTCATCGCCGGACCCTGCCGATGGATCTTCGAAAGCGTCCCGAAAGCGCAAGTCTTCTGCCGACCCTGAGGATGACGAGGAGGAGGATGATGATGGCGACCAACCGGTGAAGAAGACCGCTCACAATATGATTGAGAAGCGATACCGAACCAACCTGAACGACAAGATCGCCGCCTTGAGGGACAGTGTTCCCAGTCTCCGTATTATGACCAAAAGTGCCCGTGGCGAGGATACGACTGAGGATCGTGAAGAGCTTCATGGTTTGACTCCGGCTCACAAGTTAAACAAGGCCACCGTACGTTGTGCTTTTCTGATGAGGTGATTAATACTGATCGACAAACAGGTTTTGAGTAAAGCGACAGAGTATATTCGACATCTTGAGAAGCGAAATAACCGACTACTTGATGAAAATGGTGCCATGCAAGCCCGAATTGCTGCTTTTGAAAAGTTGTTTATGGCTGGTGCTATGAATGGAGCCATTAGCCCTCTTCAGCAACCGCCCACACCTATTCAGTATGCCCAGGATTCTCAACAATTCGGAAACCCGTCCATGCCATCACAAGAGGGTAATGCGCAGCCTGGTGGTATGATTCAAGTCCCTGACGATATGAAGAGGATTATTTCAGCACAAATGGCTGCTGGTCAACCATATCCTGTCCCCCAACAACAATACAGAGGCGGCAACCCTGCGCTCATCAGACAACAGCAAATTCAGCAACAGCAGCAGATGCAACAAAATAGATGGAATAATGCCGGCCCTTACTTCGGTAAACTTATGGTTGGCTCACTGGCTGGTCTTATGATCTTGGAGGCGGTTCGTGAAGATGAAATCAGTAATGAGAAGCCAGAAGGCCGTGGCCTATATGCTGTGCCTTTGCAACTTCTCAAAGCTGCGTCGTCAAGCCTTGACCTAAACGTTGGGGGCTACCATCTCCATACATCGCTTCGAGTTATTCTTTTGCTTGGAACATTCCTTTGGGTGTTTGTTCCTTCACTTTTCTCGCAAACTCAACAGAAGCCGAAGAAGCCCGAAGCTGGCGTCCTCCAGGCTGCACCATCACTTGCTTCCCCGATTCATGTTCGTCGACAGGCTTGGCTCACTGCTATCCAGACTGTCTGGGTCCCCCGTCACAATTTCTTCCTTGAGGCTGCAGCCCTTATTCTGAAGACTCTCAAACTCAGCCTTCGCAACGCAATTGGAATCCACGGTTATCAGGCCATTACTGGTTTAACACAAGAGCAGGAGACTGCCCGAGTTCAGGCCTGGAGCATTGCTCTTGACTCGCAGTTGGCTGGCGGTGATGTCGAGATCAACAAGAGCCGCCTTGTTCTCACTTTCCTTGCTTCTGGTACTCTTCCTGACACACCCGCGAGACTCATGCTCAAGGCACTCCACATCCGTGTTCTTCTCTGGGATCTTAGCCAAAACCGACTGCACCTCGGAGCAAGCAACATCATCGCTGCTAAGCTTGCTCGAGCCAAATGGAACGAGGCCCGCCAACTGAATCGTCTCCTCACTCAACTCCACCGCGAATCTACCGAACAGCATGACGACGACCTGCCCGATCATCTCGCCATGTTGGTTGAGCAAGACTGTGACGAAGTTCTCAATGATGATGTCATTCAACGCGCACACAATCTTGCCTTCAATGCCGATACCGATCACAATGTTGCCGCTCCTATGGACGGCATGGACGCTGTCGTCGACGATACCTCCATTGGATCCCCCCTCGATGCTGTTGCTGCTTGGTGGTCAACTCAAACCCTGCACCGAACCTTGGTCGCCACGATGGAAAAGGATGAGGAGGCCCTGAGCACCAAGGTCGAAGACATCGAACTCGCTATCAAGACCGCACCTATTGGATCTACCGCTCAGGCTCGAGCCATCGTGGCACGCGCTGTTCTTGTTGACGAGGCCCGTGGCGCTAACATCGCCTCTGCCTTGCAGTCAATGGGTAACGAAAAGGTTGACGCTCTTCTGAGCACTTCTATCTGTGTTGTTGATTCTAGCTTCCAAGCCTCTACTTCCGATTTCCGACTGGCCCTTCGCTGTGCCATGGCAATTGCTCATCTCCGACGCGTCGAATGCACCCCTGGCAGCACCCACCGGGGTCTGCGAATGATCGAGTCAATCATGACACGCGGTAATGCCTCACAAATGTCTCTCCTCGGATGCACCGCAGCTCTCGAGCTCATGGAGGAGCTTTACGAGCACAAGGCTGCTGCCGAGACCTTCCGCTCCTCTCTCGAACGACTGTCTGGTAGCCTTCGTCTATGGATAGGCGGTGCTCCAGGTGAGAAGTGTGGTGTTGCCTCGGACGTGCGAGAAAAGGTTGTAAACCGGTGCCTGACTATCACCAAGAGTATGGTGGGAATGGATTCAGACACTGGCTACGGAAGCCTTGACGAATGTGAAGACGATGGATGTTAGACGACAAGAAGCGATTTCCTTTTTCATTATTAGCGACACATACACTGCCGGATATTTTCTTAGCAACCCCACTTGCATCATGTCATGACGGGTTGAATCTGCGTCTCTGACCATTGTTGGATGACTTTCTGTATGAACATGGGTATCTGTTTTTCTTAGAAAGGGGCGAAATCCCGGGCTACTACTATCACGGAGTTATACTGGGCAACGGGTAAAAGGGGCGATCAAACAAATACAGGGCGAGGAACAGATAGTTCCAGCGGACCTTGTTAAGGATAAATCGTAGCGAAATAGCGTCATGTTGATTTGACATCAAAGACATCTCCTTATTATTATTCAAAGTACATTATTTGGTCACCATATTCTTGTGCTGTGAAAGGTTTCCCAGACTGAGGCGATTGATATGTCTTCAACAATTCACCAGCCTTCCGGTGATCTTGGCTAGACTACACAGAAGCAAATTACATTTTCACTTAGCATCGAACAGCCTAAAATTCATCCGGTATGGTGTAGTGGCTAACATTTCGCGCTCTCATAACCTGAGAGATCAGTACCGCGGAGCCCAGGGTTCGATTCCCTGTACCGGAGTTACATGTTTAATTTTTTTGCTGCAGCTATCTCTGTTGTATGGTATCAGCGTAAGTCAGTACTGCTTCTTCCTGTTCTTTCGCCAGGGGGTCATAGAACAGTCGATCGTGGTGAATGCCTTATCAGATAGTGACCGGTAGATCCCTATGATCTGTCTACCTTCACAAGTTATTGTGCACGTTGCTCTCAAAGGGGATTTTGGAACATCGTATTACATGCTTCCATTCTAATATTCAAGGATTTTGATATATCTATTCAAATAATCATGTAGTCGTAAACACTCCAAACGCCACCCTATGATATATGCCAACCTCTGTTTATCCTGTATACCCTTCTACCACTCTGGTGCACCACCTCCACATCCATTGGAAGCCATCATAAGATCCATCGGCTTCGTGGTCATCTTCGCCTGACCAAGAGGCTTCACGTAGGGCTTCTTACCACGAATGCCCACGAACTTGATCTTGCTATCAAGCTTAGCCAAAGGTGCCTCGCCAGCTTCACCCTTCTTGACCATCCACTTCTTAGTTCCCAGGGCACTGTCAAGCTCGTCCACAGGAGGAAGCTTGAGGTATAGCATGCCGTCAGGACGAGCCTCGGTGGGGAATGTGGCGATGGACATGGACTCGTCTGTCTTGCAGGCACCGTTACCCAAGTCAAAGTTGCGCTTGTGGTGAGGACATGAGACCCATGGCGCTGCAGCGGCCTTGTCGCCGTTTTGCTCAGCCTTGTGAGGTTCTTGACCGACGAGACCGTCGGAGAGGATGAATGCACGCTTGTGAGGGCACATTTGCTGGGTAGCGTAGTAGACACCCTTGATACGCCAGATGGCGAGTTGAGTGTCACCGCGCTTGACGGTAGCAGAGATACCATTGGGCAACTCATCCGCACCGTCAAAGTAGGACGACTCGATGATGGGCTCCCAAGAAGTCATGGACCACTTATCCTTGAGACCCTGGAAATCTTCCTTTGCTGCAGCATCGGCAGGCCAGAAGGCAGGTCGCTTCTGACCACGGTCATCTTCAAGCTCCATGTTGCGTGTTGTATCATTTGTGTTGGCGAACTGCTTGAACTTCTCTGCGATGGCGGGAGTCTTGATGGCCTCGGCCCACTCGTCGAAGAAACTGTCGACAAGCTCTTCCATCTGAGCCTCAAGCGAGGCGTTGATACCAAGTTTGTCCTCGAGGATGACTTCTTGAAGGTACTTGATACCTCCGGGGAGGTTCTCAATCCAGCGTGCTGTTCGCTGGAGTTTGTCGGCCGTTCGCATGTAGAACATGAGATATCGGTCCAGAATTGTCACAACGTCGGTTGGGGGCACGTCCTTGGCCAATAGCTCGGCATGACGAGGGTTTGCACCACCGTTACCACCAACGAAGATGTTCCAGCCCTTTTCCGTAGCGATCAAACCGAAACTAGTAAAATGGTTAGTAAACTGTTGAACGAGAAAGGGGTAAAGTTGTAACGTACTCTTTGCTTTGGGCTTCAGCGCACTCACGCACACAGCCACTGATACCACCCTTGATCTTGTGAGGAGCTCGGATACTCTTGTATCGCTCCTCCAGGCGCACAGCCATGCCAACACTGTCACTGAGACCGAATCGACACCATGTAGAACCGACACAGCTCTTGACAGTTCGTAGAGACTTGGCATAAGCGTGACCAGACTCCATACCACCAGCGACAAGCTGACCCCAGATGTCTAGGAGGTCCTGCTTCTGGGCACCAAACAAGTCGATACGCTGACCACCTGTGATCTTGGTGTACAGGTTATACTTCTGTGCAACCTCACCAATAACAACAAGCTTGTCAGGCGTGATTTCACCACCAGACACACGAGGGACCACAGAGTAAGTTCCATCTCGTTGGATGTTACCCAGAAAGCGATCGTTAGTCTCTTGAAGACCATGTGTTGTCTTGTCCATGACGTGTCTGTTCCAAAGAGAAGCCATGATGCTTGCTACTACAGGCTTGCACAGCTCACATCCAACAGCACTCTTATCGGTTCCAGCCTCGCGCATGACTTCGTCCATAGACTTGAGGCGCTTGACCATGATAATGTTGAACAGGTCAGCACGCGAGTAGTTGAAGTGTGAGCAAATATAGTTTGTGACCTCTTGACCCATAGAAGCCATCGTCTTGTTGAAGATGGTGGTGACCAGGGGCACACAACCACCACAGCCAGTGCCTGCCTTTGTGCACTTCTTGATGCTGGCGACATCCTTACAAGTGCCATCCTTGATAACTTTGACGATATCACCTTTTGTGACGTTGTGACATGAACATACTTGGGCATCATCGTCAAGGTCATCTGAGTCCTCGCCTTCCTTCTTAGCACCCAGGATCAACTCGCTGGGAGACATCGTGAGCTCCTTCTGAGACTTGACCATGGGCAGAAGCTTGACATAGTCGCAGACATCGCCAATCATCATACCACCAAGAAGGTATTTTCCATCCTTGGTGAAGATGTATTTCTTGTACACGTTGGAGAAAGGATCCTTGTATGTAAGGGCCTGGACAGAGCTGGGGGATTTGGCGTCGCCGTTGACTATCTTGGCGTATCTGGGAGGAAGAGTCACGGGGCCATCGCGGTCGGCGAAGCAGTCACCAAAGCTGGCAACATTGACTCCAAGAAGCTTGAGCTTTGTGCTCATATCAGGAGTCTTGAACATCATGGGGCTGTGAAGCTTGGCTTGTGTAAGGTTGAAAGCAACGACTTCGGCCATCGCAACACCAGGGGCAATGAGACCGTAAGCCATACCCCGCCAACTAGCACATTCACCGATGGCGTAGATGTCGGGCATGCTTGTTCTCAGGTCGTCGTTGACGACAATACCTCCTCTTTGACCAACCTCGAGGTTAGCTGATCTCGCAAGGTCATCTCTGGGCTTGACTCCAACAGCAAAGCATAGTGTGGAGCAGTCGATTTCGGTTTCATCGTCAAAGATGACACCGGTAAGGTTGTTGTTCTCGTCCGTCTTCAAGCTGGACACACCCTTGCCTAAGTTGAGTCTCACGCCAAGTTGTGAGACCTGGTCTGCGACCATCTTACCGGCCGTCTCGTCGACCTGTCTGCTCAGAACCCATTGGGACTTCTCGATAAGGTCGATCTTGTTGTAGCACTCGAGATCCAGCATAGCTTTGGCAGCTTCCAGACCGAGCAGGCCACCACCCACGACAACACCATTGGTGCCTTTCTTGTCGTCAGAGAACTTGATCAGCTTGTTCAAGTCATCAATAGTTCGGTATACAAAGACACCGTTGGAGTCCCATCCTTTTAGCATGCGAGGAAGGACAGCATCTGAGCCAGTAGCGAGGACAAGGATGTCGTATGGGTAACTCTCGCCATTTGCGCATTCGATAAACTTTTCCTCGGTATTGATATGTGTGGCTTTTGTGTTGATGTGGCAGTTTAATGATGCTTCGGATTCTGTGTACTGCAGGTTTGTTAGTGCATGATCAAAATGCATGTGATTAAGAGATAACATACCCATTCTGCTGGGTTCATGTATAGGTCCTCGACTTTGCGGTGTTCGAAGAATGTTGTGAGGCCTACTCGATTGTAGGCAAGATATGGTTCCTCTCCAACCACTGTGATAGCATATTCTTTTGTTTTGGCATCGTATTTGAGCAGCTTTTCTCTGCGTTGTTGTCAGATCATGTATATGTAAGTGTGTTAGTGTATATGGACTTACATAAAAGCAATGCCCACCATGCCTAGTCCAACGACGACAATGCGTTTTTGTGTCGTTACAGCCATACTGAAAATTTTGGTATAATAGTAATTAATGTTCTTCAGAAACAGAAGAAGCACGCAAAGGCAGAATCGCCAGGTCTCTCATGGTTATAAGTGACCGTCGAGGTCCAAGAGTACCCGATATAAAAGAGGGTCCTTTTGACATGCTACCATGGATGCTGCCATCTCATGTCATGATTCCTTTCTCCCTATCAAGAACAGACATCTCCGGGAAGCCTGTGCTTGCGCTTGTGGCGTAACAAGCATTTCCGCTGTTCTGCCCAAACAGCGTGGGCGCATTTGTCGTACTCGTCTCAACTCGGCAGGGCTGATCTTGATAAGGAGACAGGTACCGTAGACAAGGGGCCAATCAGGGGCTGTTCTTTTCAAGTGCGTTCTCCGCGGAGAAACATAGTCTGGGCCAGAGGTCGTACGTCGGAGCAGACCACGACAAACTCAGGGCATGATATGATATGAGATAGACCCTCATATTAACTCAAAGCAGAGGATCCGGTTTCTAACGAAGTTGCACCATATTAATATCATACCGCACTACGGTGAAGCTTTTTGTGGGTTGTTGACTGATATAAGTCTCGGTGAATCCATCTCAACTATAGTCTGAAAATCCTCCAAGCTTATCTTGATTCAGCACCCAAGGATATGGGTACATGCTGGAGGTCTGGTGTTCTAGATTCTTTATCGTCAGTCAATGATAGCTCTCAGGTCACAATACTCAACCGAGCTATTTCTGTGTAAAGGATCAGTGGTAGGTAGGGATCGGGAATAATCACTAGCTCCCTTATTCCATGCAGTAACCTTTCTCCTCGGAAGCAACAGAAGAGCCTCCTTCGAATTGCCGCAATAGATAAGCCGCAAAGATACACCTCCTCCGGATATCAGCTTTCCAACATCACGATTCTGACTGGTCCCCGACAAAGATAACGTTGTGTTTCGGCAGTATCTCAAGTTGCAATCGCCAGGAGAACGCGGAGATTCAGTGACCAAGCAGGCATTCTCCACGGAATTCACAAGATATGATATATCGTTCACCTGGGGCTCCATTCATTCTCCTCGCTTCGTGTTGGTAGTGGAGAGGGAGCTTGAAGTCGTACGAAGAAATAACTCGATCGGCAATTAAACCCAGTGCTGAGACCGCTACACGATCCAAGCGAGCAAGTACATTAAAACAGCTTCATTCCTATTTCCATAGAATGGTTCGACGCAAAATCGTGAGAGGAATTGAATTGATCAAGATATTGTTTGTAACTCATGTAAACGGGCAACGGCCCTGTCCGGCCGAACCTCAGGTACCCATGATGCACGTGTCTAGCGGCCTGTAGCCTGTACCTTAGAGCCCCCACAGAACCCCTCCCACGTCATCGTCGCAACCCGTAGCTTCAACACCACATCCAAACATCACCAACGTTTATCTCAGCCTCGTCAAAATGGCTGCTACAACTACCACAACTACTGCCGACTCCTCATTCACGTTCCCTCGCGAATACCACTTCCCCGCCTTCTTCACCCGCCAAACAAACCTCACCACACTCCACGCCCAGCGCAACAAATGGGCAGACCTCATCCTCGCCTACGCCCGACATAACCGCATATTCCGTCTCTCCCTCTCCGAAGCTGCCGACTCGGATCTGTTTGTCAATCGCAAACTTGATCGTCGATTGCAATCCGACGATATTCGAGATGTGGTCTCCTTTATGCACACCGATGGCCGTGTAGAGTATGTTGGAGGTGGTACATCGGGCGATGTCGTCTTCCTGTACTGGAGAAAACCAGAGGAATGGGCCGAGCTTGTAGAGAACTACGTTGAAGAGTCAGGTCAAAAGGGCAGTGTCCTGACAGTCTATGAGCTTGTCGAAGGAGACGGCACAAAAGGGAATGGTATGTTTAATGACAATCGCGAAGCTGTGTCTGTATACACTTTACTAATTGTCACAGATATTCACGGCATGGACACGGACGTCTTACTCAAAGCTCTCAATGTCCTCGTCAAACGAAACAAGGCGCAAATATTTGGCCAGGACGACTCATTAGGCGTGAAATTCTTCTAAAAACGCTTAATCCATTTTCACATCTCTACGTAAAGTACACATGCGCCGGTCTCTTTATGAGCCATGAGCGCAGGAGAAAGCCAACTGCCAGTCCGACAATGGCGCCGCTATCAAGAACCCTCCAAACGCCATCGAGCAACACAGCTCGTCCAGACTTATCCGTACACTATTCCATTTCGTAGAACTGTTCCACCTTGTACTTTTCGTCAAATCGTACTTGTTGGGCCATCGCAACATCGAGTAACCAATCCGGTACCACGATCCGAGGTTCCATGTTGCCTTGGAACGCCATTTCTCGAAATTTGGGCCAAAGCGATTTCTCGTCTCTGGCATCGCTGCTCAGGAGATAAACAGGCTCAGGGGGCTTACCCTCTTCCTCGGCGGTCGCTGGTCGAATTGTTGTTCCGCTTCGCGCTCGATAGATCTTGAAAATGGCACCGTTCGCCTCGGCAATGGCTTTGTAGCTGTCTGGCCCAGCGCGGATCTTTTCCGTGCAATAAATCGGGATGCCGACGAGTAGCTTGCCTCTATTTGCCTTTGCGCGGGCGACCGATTTCTCGAGCTTGATGTTATGCTTTTTTTCCGTTTCCTCGTCTTGGAGAATAAAGTCATCCACATCAGGTACATCACTCGTTTCTATGGCTTGGTCGATGAACGTCGATGAGATGACAGTTGGTCCACGTGCAAGAGCACATAGAAACTTGACAGTACGGACAATGTTAGGCGCTGCCAGATAGTCGCAGGGCTGACCCTCCGCAACGATTTGGATTCCCATTTCTCGTAGCTTTTTCTGTAAAACATGTTAGAAAATATAGATATTGGCTCGGGCCTACTTACTCGATCATTAGCTTCCTTGTTCTTGTCTCCAACCCATCGATTAAATCCGGTTAGAATAATGCGCATGGTAATGTCAGGAAGTGATGGTTTCGTCTTCTTTGCGGGTCGCTTGGCTGCTGTCGTATTCTCTTCGACTTCTGGGGTTGCACTTTTCGTCTTGGTGCTGGTCTTGGTGTTGTTCTTCTCCGCTTGGTCTGCGGCCCGTTTACCACCCCAGATTGCATTCCCCCCTTTAGCCATCCTCTTCTTCTCTTTCTCATACAGAGCAATATCATCACTCAAACCATGCAAAGCTGCCTGTGCCTTTGCTTTGGCACTGCGACCGCCTGTAGAGATCACCGAAGGGGTGTCATTCTCCTTTCCAGTATGCCTTGTCCGAATAGGCGTTTCCACAGCAGTCTTGGTGGTAGCCTTCTTCTTTGCAGGTCTTTCGTTCTCTTCTTGAGCGTCTTCCATCTCAACGTCTTCGCTGTCGACCTGGCCAATCACAACACCCTCTGCTGGCCCTCTTGGGTATGCGTTCTCCTCTGCAGCTTCGAGAATCTTTCGCTTTCGCTTCGCTGCCGGAGACAGGTTTTCGTCGCCACCTGGGTAGTACTTCTCCCTCAATTTTGACTCATCGAGGAAAGTTTTGCCAATTATCTCCCCAAGATTGGTACGCGGAGGGAAATGCGTGTACTTCTTAATGCTGATTGGTGTGATCTCACACTTGGCATAGCTCTCCTCGATCCAGAGATGATTGACAACCTGAATACCCCATTCAGGCGCTGCTTTGCATTTCTCACTAGAATCGCGTGCCGTGACCAGATGTGTATTCTCTGCTTTCATCGTCTTTGTGAACTCGGCTCCACACGCCTTAATGAGATTCTCCAGGTAGATACGTGCTTCACCGCCGTAGTTCGATAATGTGATACGCAGTTTCTCAAATCCTTCGATGCCGTTTTTGGGGACAGGATAGTGCAGTAGTCTCTGAAGAGGTGATGTCCAGCCATTGTGCACAATAAGCCAGTAAAGCCAGGCCAAGTTGCCAACGTCCTTACACGATTGCGCTGCTTGAACGTACTCAGGCCCGTCGCGGTACTGGCAAATGAACATGTCGCAATTATCAACTTCGTCCACCACTTTTCCGCCTCCATGAATGATGATTTCTTGGATCACCTTTGACAATCGGTCGGTAATGTTCAAATCCTTGGACAGCATAACGTGACGGTCCTGGAACACGGTCACGGGAGGGCGAACCACCTCACCATCAGGTGGCAAAGGTAGGTACGCCGGGGTCGCCGATGTTGCTCCTGACAAGTTTCCGTTTATTGGAATCTGCACATCATCTTCGGGAGACTTCTTAAGAATCTCGGGGTTCGGCAGTAGATATGGACCTTCGTCGATGCGCTTTCCAAGCTTGAAACAATCATCGAACCTAGATAACGTTAGCAGCCATGTATGGTAAGCTTCTCGCACGCAAAAACACACCAATGTGGCAAAACCACCTTTCCTTTCCATCCCCTCTGTCTCGCATTTTCAATCTTGGGATGATCCATTGATAATGCACAAATATGCGTAGTCAAACGGTTCGCATCTTTAGATTCTTGCCCGCCCAGGGCCATCACAGCACCGGCAATGCTCTCTTTGTCTGTCTCCGGTAGATCGGCGCACGTAACGACCACCTCAGAGAATATCATCCTCGGGTCAGGTGAAAAGGGTCTGATTGGGCCCTGTTTTCGACGAGCAATGGAGATGGTAATCCACTGTGTTGTCACAACAGGGATCATGAAAGCCTGCGCTTCGATGAACTGGGGGAAATCGATCGTGTTGGAGATGATGTGTGTGACTTTTTCGACAGGCAGGGAGCCATCGCGTCGGGGTTCGCAGATCGTAGCACCATTGTCTTCCAAGATAGTCGATAGCTGCAGAACAGTCAGTACATGAGCAGTCTGCAAGAAAAGTCTTTAACAAACCTCTCCGATGAGCTTGGGAGGGAGTTCATTACTCGCGACAAACGCGATGGCGCATTCTTCAAAGAGGGTAGAAGTCATCTTCCGTTTATTAAGAAGCAAAAGAAGAGACGAAAGAGAGCAAAAATAAGTAGAAAAAGAAAACTATGACTCCGTAGTTATGACATGAAGCTTATATGTGATTCTAAAGCTCAAGATTGGCGATTGGTTTGGGAAATTAGTAGTAATAGCAAATATCGTGGGATGCCTAGCGGAAGGTACGAAGGCGTTTGTCAAGCTTCCCTTCCCTACAGACGCGCCACTCAACGCGAGAGACTGGCGCGACCACGTGACCATGACGGAGCAGAGAGACTTATGATGGCACCAATTTTGTAAGGAATCTTGAGTACCTGGCGAGACCCCCGCGACGAGCCAGACCCCACCAACAGAACGCGCTCTACCGGGCACTTTACGCCACCTCGACTTCTCTTCATGGATGTTACACTAGCTCCCGTCTGAAGTACCAGGTATTCTCTATCATCTGATAATGATATCAGCCAAGCAGGACATATCTACTATGAATGGCCTTAGGAGTTGTGTACTTTGAGATTGTTCATTACTATGATATGTCGAGATATCTAATCCATCATTGCTCCAAGTAACTGGTGGCGAAACAGCCGTAGTACATGATTAACAAATGGTGTTTTCCTCCAAAAAAA